GTGTTCATATCGGAATTCGCAATGCGCTTTGATATCGCAGAAAGAAATACTCATACATAATATATAACGTTAATAATTGAAATTATGAATATTTATTGACCTTAGTGGAGCCTTTGACTGCCTTAACCATTCAAAACTCCATGATAAATTATCAGGTATACGTGGCATGCCTTTGATACTTGTTCACTCATACTTAGAACATCGAAAGCAATGCCTTTCAGTGAATGATCATGCTTCTTCTTTGCAACTCTTGAAGTTTGGTGTTCCCCAAGTCAGCCTACTCAGTCCTCTGTTGTTCAATATGTATAAAAACGATCTAGTCAATATATGCAACCAATCACGTTTTACCCTGTATGCGGACGACACGAGTCTATTTCTGCCTGCGTCGAATATGCGGACGAACTCATAAACACTGATGTTTTAGAAAAAGCTTCGTTCGTGGTACAATTAATTGTCTTAAAATAAACACTGTAAAATCTAAAGCAATTGTTTTAGGTCTGTAAATAATCACGTGACTAGCAATTATAATCTAAATATTGGTACCTAGCGACCAGATTGAAATACTCAAACAGTACAAAACACTAGGTATATATTTTTCAGAACATCTGCAATGGGATAATCATAAAGAATACCTGGTTAAGAAACTGTTAAAAGTTGTTGGAGTAATATGTCACTGTCGCTCTTTTTTGCCTGTAAATATTAAAATGCAAACTTATCACGCTCTGTTTAGCTAATAAATTAACTATGGTCATTTGGTTTGGGGTAAAACGACTAAATGTAATGTTAACGAACTTACGGTCCAACAAAAAAAATGCTGAGTTGTATTGCCAACGCGTCCTGCGAAACTGATACCGAACCATTATTTTCGGAATTCAACGTCATGAGAATTGCTAGTGTATACCAGTACCGTATGCTGTTTTCTTATTTATTTTCAACTAATAAGGTTTTCTTGTTTCGTTTTTTTTTTTTCTTGTTTTTTTTTTTTTTTTTTTTTTTTGTCTGATTTATCCCTTTTGACGAATTTTGAATCTTCTATCCATCCGATGCAGAGTTCCCCCTGGAATGTGCGTTATCTTCGCACCAATTACGCACTGCAGTCAATTTCTGATAACCTGCCAAGATAACTTAACAAGTTTATTATAGACCACAATGATATTGATTGTTTAACAAGATAGAATGTACTCGCGTGTTCTGTTCAGACAAATTATATTGTATAGTGATTGATTTTCATTACCATGCCCTGTAAATGCAGGGGCACCATACCCAGTCAAGCTGCCTTGTGGGAGCTTTTTGTCTGGCGCCCTCAGCACAATAGTGCTGAAATGAGCAAGATCAAGTTCAAGTTCAGAGTGCTATAAATACAGTTTGGAATAGATTTTTAACGTTTGAAAAAAATTTTTCGAAGAAACCACAAAACCAAAACTGGTAAAAATACTAATAGGACCAGAAATGTATTTGTTATTTATTTTTGCCTATTCTTTAGTGTAAATTTAGTCTGAAAAAAGCCTATTTCTATGGAGCATTGCAAAAAAGCCCAGCATAGCATTTTGCTTTCTCATTCTCAAACAAAAAGCTTGTAAAACAACTAATGGTTCCCGGAAATTTAGTGTTTATTTATTATAGCATATTCTTTAGTGTAAATCAAGGGAAAAAAGTCTATTTCTATTTATAATATCATTCAGTAGTAAGCTCTTCAAGAAAACAGCACAAAAACGCGAGATATAACGTGTATCTAACGAAGACAATCAAGTGAAGATACATTTGTTAAAATATATTATCTGTTTTGAAAACAAATTAAGAAACAGAAAGAAAACACAGTTTAAGAATCTGATTAGACATCTTTGCCTTGTGGTGTGATAAAAATAAGGCATAAATATACAATGATGCTTGACATTCGTACTCGCTTGTTTAACATAAAACTATTGATTGTGCGCGTGCTGATTACGCTGTTCTATCTCTAGAGTTCAAGAGGCCTTGGTTCAGTAAAAAAATAACCACAAACCAACTGACACTTCCAATTAATCGAGAGAAAGCTCGGCGAAGCTGATGCCCACGTCTCCTGAATTACGGCATTGCAGTGGCCCGTTGCACTTACTTCCGGTTATAATTTACTATAATACTTTATTTCATATATATATACCACATATATTAAATACATATGTAATAATTTTAACACAGTAGTACTTTGAGATTCAGGCTAAATGTGGCATACGTAATACTTGCTTTATGGCACCTAGCGGAAAGTGTATGCAAAAAACGCATAGAAAATAATGTCTTTGAAATGCATACGCCTACGATTCATCTTAGATATGCCATCTTAGATATGATATAATATAGATATAGAATACGTTTCAAGCTCTTGACTCACTCGCGTCAACGTAAGCTTAGAACGTAACCAAATCGCACGCAGTATGAATGATAGAAATTCTAGCGTTGCTACTCGTAAATTGCTAAGAGGTTGTGATGTTCTTCCTTTCATCGCAATATCGCCATTATATGGAAAAGCAGAATGATAAAATTATGAGTATGTTCAACCACACGGCGCTCATTCCCTCATTTCTTTTCTTTTTTCTCTCTCAATTTACGGTTTTATGCTCGCGGCGCACACTCCACATTAGTGGGACTTCTTACACGACATAAAAGTTAAAGGTAATACGCCACGTGGCAACACATCAATCAACTAGAAGCGCCTGTCACAAATTAATTGCCATGGAAAGGTCACGCAGCGCCAGGCACGCCGCTTTTCCTGCTGACTCAATATTTAAACAGTACATATCTTTGCTCTATCAAATGCAAAATACTTTATAAATTAAACAAACTAAACAAAGAACATTAGAAAGTTTTTTTTTTGTTTTTTATTGGTTTTTCTACATTTTAAGCCATTTTTTTCTTCCTTAGACCTAGAGTCATGTATATTTTAGGTAATAAAATATATCTAAGCTTACACCGCCTCTTTGCCTATGACCAGGGTTCCGTGTTTTCGGTAACTACCAATAAAACCCCAAAAGCAACCGCCGAGACGGTTTTATGAAAGTCGGGAAAAACCTAAAGACCCCGATTCGGAGTTGGCATTGAACAGAAAAGAACCCAAGCTTTAGAAAATGAAAATTTAATCTAGTTTTATTTCTGTTAAACCGAAACACTACTGGCTGTGAGGCGGTCTTTCTTTCTGTAGCACAGTCTTTATTGCGTTCATTATGTTTTATTTGTTGTTAGTACCAGGTCAATTTTCAAGTGTCGGGTACACATATTATGTTGCTTGGAGGCTGGGGAATTTCATTTCCGTGTCCTATTTCCTTCTGGATAAACACCGATAGTCATCGATTTTTGTTCGACACCAAATACTGATATCGAAAAGCCCCGAATGTGTAGAAAAATAGATCCAGCGAAACAACCCCCGAATTTAAATAAAATTACATCTTGTAAACATGGACGTTACTTACGACGACCGCAGTGACTGATTCCTCCCGCTATGCTTCGTGTTGGCATGCTGAAAGCAAGCTTCTCTTCGCGGAAAAGGAAACAAGGACTGGCAGAACTCCTTTCCCGACGGCGTTCCGCAGGGGCGTCAACCTGATTCCGGCAATGTATCAAAACAGAGCAGAAAGGCCGACGCTACAGGAATATTTCTACGTCATCCAGACACACATTCTTTACTCCAGACAGATGTCCGCTCGTGTATGGAGTTCGATGGTCGCCCCGCCTAGTCGGGTTTCCCACCCTACTGGACGTATAAAAACAGCCACAATTATTCGAGTCAGTACAAGTTGTTTTTACTCAGCTGAACTGCAAGACATCATGTTCGCCGTAAGTATCCTTTCAACGCTATTCCGTGGTATATAGCAAAGTTTAATGTTACGCGAATTACATTTTCTAGTTTCAATCAAAACTGCCAACTTACAGGTTACGAGCAATGCTCGACACGCTGCAGATATATGAGTGTTATTGACGTCAACTCAAAATAAAACGTTTCATTAAAGAAACCTTTATCACTCGTATTCACCAGTCGTGACAAACTAGCGCTGTTTTAAAGTTAGTATCGCGACTAAGTAGTCGCGAACTAAGAGAAAAAATCAGCGACTAAGGATTGACTAGTTCTGCGGTATTCACGAGCGCGAAGCGAGCGGGTGACTATCTATTCAGAACTAACAAGCGGAATGACATAAAAAGAGAGGTCACGCGCACGCGTAGTACTTTAACGCCGCTGTGCAAATGAGTATTTTATCGTATAAAAACTAATATTTAAATGTTTATCAGGAAGAGAAGAAGTTACAATCGTACTAATTGGCCGATACAGAGTTTTACAAGGAAAAATTAAAAAAAACGCCTGGAAGTAATACGGAAGCCAATTGCCAGCGACATAAACAAGTATGGAAGCACCCGTAAATGCGCTTTTTTCTCGCCGTCCAGAGCCCTGCTGAGATCGCTTTAGTGGTATCTCTGGCCGTTGAACATGGCTATCACACAATATTTGCTTCTCCAATTCTTTCTACATGCGTCCCCCAGCGTTCCGAGACAGTAAGTGCTTCGTTAGCGCTGGCGGTCAGCGGTGATACGAGTCGGCCATGGCGCTGAGCCGCTAGTCAGCCGCTAAACACCGGCTAAACTAGCCCTACCACATGTCTAAGATTTGTTACTCGACACCTTAGTCGCGCGGGGCGACCAGGCCCCAAACACGACCGGTGAATACCAAGCGCTCATTTAGCGGCGACTATCGCTCGCCCCGTGATCATTTTAGTCGACGACGTCGCTTGTCGGTGGTTAAACAGGCCCTACTCGCGCCTGGTGAATACGGGTGTATATGTTTGGTTCCAAATTTCAATTAAATCCTAATACGTCAATTGCTGCAACCACAAAAAAACTCATCTTGAGCATTTTTCAAATGCGTGTTAAAAATACTCGAGCGTCTGAAGAGTGTAGTTGAAAGTCACCCTCGTGACTTAGTTGAGTTCATTACTATCGTCCATGCATTAATTCAACGTGTAATATTTTCCTTCCAGTTCCGTGCCTGTCTCCTCGTGGCTCTTGCCAGCTGCGCTTTTGCCGGCTACGCGAGTCCCTTTTACGGCTACAGAGCCCCAGTGGCAGCCTACCACGCCGCCCCAGTGTACAGCAGAGTCGTGGCCCCAGCCGTCACCGCCGTCCATCACGGAGCAGCCGTGTCCCACGTCTCTAGCGTGAGCAGCTACCGGAGCCAGCACCCCGTGGCCACCCCGGTCGCCCGCTACGCCTCCGTCCACACGGCCCCGGCAGTGGCCACTGTCCACACCGTCCCGGCGGTTGCCAAGGTCGCCGCCTACGCCGCTCCCGTGCTCTCTGCTGTCCACGCGATCCCGACCCACAGCTACGGCCTCGGATACGGCTACGGTCTGGGCACTTACGGACTTCGCTACGGCCATGGCCTGAGCACCTACGGATACGGACTCGGCTACCATCTCTAAACGCAATATTTTAATTATGAAACTGTTATTAATAAACTTTCTAGTTCACAAAAAATGACGAGTTTGTAAATTATTACTAAAACTAGATGCAAGATTCAACGCAGGCTACACTGCTGAGACTAAGCACCAGTGGCGTATGGATGTCAATTATAAATCAACTATGTTATTCTAAAGTCGACTTGTCTGAAGACATAATTAAAGACGAGCTGGCACTTATTTGAGAAGAGAAATAATATGACAACTCATAAAATGGTCTCCAGTAAAATGGCCCTGGGTGAAAAGGTTGCCAGCGATAACCCGGAAAAATCGGGCCTATTTCAATTTTACTGCTCTGTTTTTTTGTATTCTGCTGGTTTGTCCATTGCTTATAGTGCTTTACGTAAAAACATAGGTCCGGTGTTCAAATACATAACTGTGGTGTTATGCGCTATTATAGAAAGCTGGTGTCCAAAACAGTATTTCTAAGTGGAGGCTAATGTTCCACTTCATGATGTATAACCATTGAGTATAATAATTACTCAAGTATACTAAAGCATCTAAAATTTAACAAATATTTTACAACGCAACAACATAGTTTTAGAGTTGGTTTGTCTTGTCACCCAGGTTAATTAGTTCACTCACTCAATATACCTTTATAGGACAAAGGTTCAGAAGTGGATTTTTGTGTTCTTGGATTTCCAGGAAGCATTCGATACGGTTCTTCGTGTTCTTTTTCTACTGAAATTTGGCATCTTCGGGATTATCATCGAATATTCTTGGTTGGCTGACTAATTATTTGTCCAGTAAAATACACTGTGTTGCGGTGCTGCATCAGTTTCCGTTACCGTCCTCTCAAGCGTCTCGCGAGGGTCAGTTTTGGAGACCTTGCTCAAACATTAACGACATCGCATCAGAAATATCATAAACCATAAAACTTACGCAGATTGTACAATTTATAGAAGCGTCTAAAATGTCTCTCATGTTCATCGATTCCCCGCAGACTGACCTAAACTCTCTATTACTTTGGTGTGATCTATGCAAAATGCGTTTAAAGAATAAAAAGTTATTTTGTGTTTTACCAAAAAGTGTAAACCACTTTTCTTTGATTACTTTTTGTCCTAGCACTTTCTTGGTTGAGTTAATAATTATAAATATATAGGAGTGTAATTCACAGCCTACGCAATGTGGTAGATGTAAAGAGATTATTTAATTAACAAATGTGGTGTAATAAATATCATTCAAAGTAATTTCCAAACCCCGCTCATATATTTCACACTTAAAGGAGTGTAAGCTCATTAATACCCCCAGTGTTAAAATCACTCCTTGGTGACCTTCAAACCTCCAAAGGGTGTTGAGAAATATCCCCAGGGTGCGGGCGAAAGTCCTAAAAATAGGGTGCATGCGATCTTAGCAACACGGGCCTAGATATATTTTTTTTTTCAAGCAACAACTCTACAAAGGGTACGTACCAGAAACAGTTGCATCCATAAATACGAACACAATAAAACCCGCACGAAGCCAGAATCACGACCCTTGTTGACTACTCCACCACCTTAAATACTCGACAACGGGAAGACCTTCATTGCGAGGTAACCGCTACCACAATTAAAAAGCTTACTAGTACCGTACCTTCCAGGTTATATTCCGTTCCTGGTATATATTCTGCAGAACGAATTTGCAGTCAAAAATAAAAGTGTTTGCTTATATAGTCCGCACCCTGTGCATAGTCCACTCGTCATGTCTAATCTGAACGTAAAAACTATCATACACAGCACCCCTTGAGAAATGCCTGCTGTATGAACTTACAAAGACGCTTATATCATTCATAGATCAACATTAACTCTATGTTACTCATGAAATCCTTCACGTTTCAACATACTGAGCAAGCTAGAAAAAACGTTTCTTGCCAAGTATTGTTGCTGTAGATTGTCCGTGAAAATTTTCAACTTTTTATTACGTGTAGTCCAACTGTGGTGCGGAAAATATAGTATGTAGCTTTCTTGTCCTTAATATTTTACATACAGCATAAAATGTCGAAGTTCAAACAATGCTTCTCCAAGTCAAAAGCATTGGTAAAGGCTATATTAGCTCAATATAATGGCTAAAACAGCCTTATTAAAACGATTTGAAGGGTGAATGAGGCCGCTAACTTCCTTTCCAGCAGCAAAATGTTTTCCGTTACCTTTATAGCCATTAAAAGGGCCCTGCTAGGACTTTTTTAGTGGTTTTTAATTTTCACCGAACCTGAGCGAACTGAAAGTAGTAACTTAATAAAACTTTTCTTTTCTCGAATTCTTTTTTTCTTTTTTTTTAAGTTAGAGACAAATTAAAGTCCCCAAAACAGGCAAAAAATAAACTTCTTCCTGGCGTCCTTGGTCGCTTGAGTGGTCGTAACCTAGAGCAGGGGTAGTGAGCAGAGCGAGCGCTCACGGCTGCCGCACTCCGTGTAGACGGCTCGAGAGGGCACAACTAAAACATGTTCTGGATAGGCAGTATGAAGCGGGCAGCCAGGGCGGCTCGCATTGCATTTGCTGCGCGATTAAACGCTAATTTGGCATGACACTTCATTGGCCCCAAACGACAGCAAACACGGGGTAAAAATCAATTCAGAACGGGAACCACTTCGCACTGCCTTGCCGCCAAAGGGCCAAACCGCAAGCCAAAGCTGCTCGCCGAAGGCCTTCGGAACGCTCGGAACCGGTCGGATCCTCGACTGCAGCGCCGCCGCGTACATCCGGGACCTTTCTACGCTCGCCGCTCGTCGGTGCCTGATCCCATTACACCTTTCTAGTATGCGCCGCCTTTTACACCGCTCGGCGGCGGGTATGTCGACGGGTCATTTCTTGTTTCCGTACTTTATACTGTGAGACTTTGGGATTAAGAAAAATGTTTAATGAATGAGAATAAAAGGAATACTAAGGAGATGGCTGAGTCAATGCTGATGGCTCGTCATTGCTGGGTGGAGTTCTGCTTCTTCTTAGTCTTTGCCTATCTCTGAGGCCATCTGAGGCAAGTTCGGTGCTGTGGGCAAACACGCGGCTCACAATAAACTGCATTTCTTTCTTTTCTGATCTAAAATACTCAACAAAAACTACTTTTATCAATATTTGAAACAGCTCGCGCCAATTATAATTTCTACTTTGACTAAAAAGAAGGTTTTAGTGGCTCTGACCAGTAGTAAGCCCAGGACTAAAGAAATCACATATCGCGCGCTTTCGGCACCGTGGGTCGTCCCCCTAGGTGGAGAAGGTTTTCGCGTCATCTGGTTAAAATATGACGCACTAATATTTAGTTACTCTCTCCGTGCCCGCTGGCTTGCCCGAACCCTGAGAAACGTGAAAACCGCAAAAAAGGCAGACGCTTAAATATGATTGCAAGACCTTTTTAAGCAATGAGTAATGTTCCACGTAACAGCACCCACTTTTAAGTATAAAAAGGGTGTTTACTCCAATAAAGGGTAGTAAAAGAGAGAAGCACGAGTGCAAGCCGCTGTAGCACATTGAAACAGTCTTAGTGTGTATTGTCTGTTGAAGATTATGAGCTAGAAGAAACTGAACGGAACCACAACTCCTTCCTATTGATAAGGAAGAACATCATTCACTGGAGACTGCGGTACCTGAGGGGTTCAAAAATCACGGACCTGAAAACAGTACAACCCTTTATCAGCATGAGACTTGATTCAAAGATGACCATGCAAGTAACAAAGCCAGAACCACCTCTGGACTGAATTCCGGGCTCAAGGCTTTTAAAAGAAAAAGTGTGCTGGCGAAATAATTATTGCCGTTACTTGTTTAATCTGGTATTCTGAACCCATCACTAAAGGTTCGACTCAGGTTTGGGATCAGTAGCCTTGCATTTTATACCGGTTTTTTTTTCGGTTCAGTGATGCAGGTGAAATATTGGTTCGGTTACCGTTTCCACCATGCTCGAAGCCATTTAAATCAGTTATTAACTCTAAGCTTAAACCACGACCACTCCTAAACTTTCTGCGCTAAGCAAAAAAAAAAAAATAAAAATAAAAGAAATTAACCACTCTTAAGCCCGAGACACATGCGCGAAAAATCCATCCGATCCGACGTCCGATCCGGCAGTACGACTGCCAGATCCGAAAAATTTGGTCGCTTCAGGCGTCGGATCGGCGATCCGACGTGCGTCCAACGCGCCAGATAGTTTCGCACGGCGGGCGGATTGTCGGATGCGTCCAGCCAATGAGAGCACAGCTAGCGCGAACATCATGATGACGTACTGGGTCTGTATGATGACGTACTGGGTCTGTCGGGACGAACAAGAAAACGGGACGGGCGACGGGAAGCCGGAGGCGTGGATCCCGCTGACCCATTCGAGAAAGATGGCCCCGGCAAAGAATGCACGCGCTAGCGAGAACGCGCTTCTAACTTCCCTGGTGTGAGCTAAACCGTCAACCTGGGACCAGAGATCTGTGAACGCGGACTTCCGCTGGGGTGCTTGGATCTCCTGGGCGCAGCCGAACGGATCGTCGTGTCGCATGCAAGGTGGGAAGTGTGTGTCTCAAACTGTCGCGTGCGGCGATTCGGAGCGGCGTTCGGACTGTCGGATCGGACGTCGGATCGGACGATTCTGCCGTCCATGTGTCTCGCGCTTTAGTCGCTAAAAAAAAAAAGCCAAGTCGGTCCAATCTGCATAAAACATAATAGGAACAAAAGAAAAGAACTTGTCATCAGAGGCCGTGTTGTGCAAGAAATGAGGACAGAGCACATAAATGCTTACTTTCCTTTCATCATTTTGACTTTTTATTGCAAACACCATTTTCTTTCAATTACCTGATCATAAACTGTACCAAAGCACAGTACTCACATGGGAAGTCAATTAGGCAGCACGCAGCTCTACATGAACCTACTCGCAGACTATCCTTTTCAAATGACTGACTGTAAAACAAAAAAGACAATGAAGGAAAGTAGAAAGGGGATTCAAACAATACAGGAGAGAAAGAAAAAGAAGCAACATGCTGCAATTAAAAAAAACCTTCCCTTAGCAGCTTCAAGATCCCCACGCGACCAGCGCCCCTGTGTCGCGCTTCTCGTGGCTTGTACTCTCCAGTGGCGTCTCCAGTTTTGCTACCGCAGAGCAAACACACGAAAAGAACCGTCTTTTAAAGCGCAGCTCTTAGGCGCCCGTTTCCGGCTTGAGCGGCGTCGCCGTCGCCGTCGCCGTCGCCGTCGGCGTAACCGCGCGGTGCATTATGGGCAAATTTTTCCCAAGGGGCCCGAGGCCCTCCCGAAGGAACCCGAGGTCCTCCGGAGGTCCTCCCGAAGCACCTCGGGTTCCTTCGGGATGACCTCCGGAGGACCTCGGGTTTCTTCGGTAGGACCTCGGGAGGACCTCGGGTTCCTTCGGGAGGACCTCGGGAGGACCTCGGGTTTCTTCGGGAGGACCTCGGGTTCCTTCGGGAGTTGCATGCAACATGTTGCATGCAACCTGTTGCATGCAATCCAGGTTGCATGCAATCCAGGTTGCATGCAACCTGGTGACGTCATCGGCATCCGCATCGTCATTGTCATCATTACTGATGACGTCATCAGTGACCGCTGATGACGTCATCGGCATCCGCATCGTCATCGTCATCATCACTTATGACGTCATCAGTGAAGTCACTGACGTCACTGATGATGTCATTGACATCCGCATCGTCATCGTCGTCATCACTGATGACGTCATCAGTGACGTCACTGATGACGTCCTCAGATCGCCATCGTCAAGGTCACGTGACCCCCCGAGATCACGTGACCCCCCCCCCCCCTTCAGTACCCTTCCCTCCTCCTCCTCAAGAGCTGCACTCTAATTCGGCGTTTCAGGGAGTTGTTAACGGCTTTCTTTTTTTTATTATTATTCGCTTTTTTTAAGGAGGTTCATCTGCAAAGAAACAAAGGTTCATCTGCAAAGAAACAAACAAATAGGTCTTTAGCTTTTAACGTGAAACGTTATTTGGATGGGTGTTCGGCATATCGTGAAGACCAGATAAAAAAGTGAAAGCTGCTTACAACTCCCTGTAACGCCGAATTAGAGCGCAGCTCTTGAGGAGGAGGAGGGAAGGGCACTGGGGGGGGGGGGGTTAAACTAACCAGGGAGTGGTCACGTCACCTTGGGGGGTCACGTCACCTTGGGGGTCACGTGACCCCCAATGCCGATGATGTCATCACTGAGGTCACTGATGACGTCATCATTGACGATCACGATGCGGGTACCGATGACGTCATTAGTGACGTCACTGATGACTTCACCAGTGATGATGACGATGACGATGCGAATGTCGGTGACGTCATCAGTGACGTCGCTGATGACGTCATCAGTGATGATGACGATGACGATGCGGATGTCGGTAACGTCATCAGTGATGATGACGATGACGATACGGATTCCGGTGACGTCATCAGTGATGATGACGATGCGGATGCCGGTGACGTCATCAGTGACGATGACGATAACGATGTGGATGCCGGTGACGACATCAGTGACATCACTGATGACGTCATCAGTGATGATGACGATGACGATGCGGATGCCGGTGACGTCATCAGTGATGATGACGATGACGATGTGGATGCCGGTGACGTCATCAGTGATGATGACGATGACGATGTGGATGCCGGTGACGTCATCAGTGATGATGACGTCATCAGTGATGATGACGATGACGATGTGGATGCCGGTGACGTCATCAGTGACGATGACGTCATTAAGGGTCACGCGACATCGGCGGGGGTCACGTGACCTCAGGGGAGTCACGTGACTTCGGGGGGGTCACGTGCCCCCCACGAGGTCACGTGACCCCGGTGGGGGGCTCGCGCGGTGCATTATGGGACATTTCCCATGATGCACCGGGGTCACGTGACCTCGGGGGGTCACGTGCCCCCCCACGAGGTCACGTGACCCCGGTGGGGGGCTCGCGCGGTGCATTATGGGACATTTCCCATGATGCACCGCGCGGTTACGCCGACGGCGACGCCGACGGCGACGCCAACGGCGACGGCGACGCCGACGCCGCTCAAGCCGGAAACGGGCCCCTAAGAGCTGCGCTCTAAAACGTGGCCGCGAGGCTCAACCCTAATTCGTTGATGGGTGAGAGAGGAAGAGTGACGTGCTCGACGCTAACTGGTTAACGAAAAGGTGATCTGACCACAGGGGTAGGCGAGGAGAGGCTCGACCACCCGTGCGCACTGAGGGACAGAAGCTTGAGAGTACGGATTACGGAAACGTGTGGGAGATCACCAGGTTTATCAGAACGATTAGAGGTAGTACCGCTTCCTTCTGGGAACAGCTATCAAGTATACGCATATTACGCGTTAAAATATCCGATAAAAAGCGCCGTGAACCTAGGCACCTGAATACTGAAAACTCGGGGTGTTCAATAAATGTTTGTGATTCTAGAACGTTTCACGTACGCAATACAATTGCCCCGCAAAGTGCCACAATTTTGTTAGCCATAGACAGTTATTAAAGTGTACGCCTCTGAGACGACGCGCCAACGTCGAGACGTGCTGTACATAGACGTGAAATGTTTTTTTTTTTTTTTTTATAATTATTAATGCGCTGTCTCCACGTCGCTGTGGTCTGTATAGTCAACACTGCGCCCCTAACGTTGCCGTGGTGAATGTTAAATAGACTTCGCGCCGCCACCCGCAAAAAGAAAAGCGGCTTTATTAAGCGGGCCATTTTCAAATAAACCGGTAACCGGCACATATGAGTATCGACTTGTTTCGGTTCGGTCAGAAATAACGGTTTTACTTCAGTGTTTGGGTCGGGTTTGGGTTGGGTTCGACACTTTGATTTAAAGAATATATATTTGAAAAAAAAAACATTGCTTCACCCGAACAGGAAGCATTTCTTTATCATCAATATTCCCAAATGCTGATTTTAATTAGATGGAATAATCGCTGCGTGGATTTATCAATTGACTAATGAACAAGCCTCAGGAGATCATTGGATCATTTACAGCCTAGATATAAAAACAAAAATACCGCTTCAGCCGGATGAACAAATTAAAGATAAAAGAATAAACTACACAATTAAACATTATTTTTTAGTCTTTCGGGTATGGATGTTTTTCTTGTTGTTTTTTAATTTATATTTGTGTGTATTTGAATATAGCTAGATCTTTCCTTGCGGTGCCTTCTCGCTTATGAAGCCTGCTGTAAATAATCCTTCCCGTTAAACCACGCGTCGGCATGCCGAAAGCAAACAAGTCAGTCACGTATGGGGAAGAGAGACTGCTAGTTCTCCTATCCCAACCGTTTTCCAAATGTTAATCCACTTGATTCCGGTTGAATCAAAATAGAAGCGGAAAGGTCGACGTTACAGTAAACGTAGTACGTGATCCAAACACGCATACCTTTCTCCGCTCGTTTATTGAGTGCCATGCTGGCCCCGCCTAGTCGGGTTTGACGCACTACAGGAGGTATAAAAAGAGCGACAATTCTCCTGTTCATTACAAGTTGTCCTGACTAAGCTGAACTACCATACATCATGTTCGCCGTACGTTTCCTTTTACTGATTTTTAGTTGTAAATAGCAAACATCTACCGTTAACTTCAGTAGCTTTCGTAATTTTAATCCGAACTGTGACCTTACAGATTCCCAACAAAACTCGGCACTCTGTGGATATAAGTGTTCTAGATATTACCCCAACTTTAAGAAAACCTTTGAGGTGCATAGATATCAATGAGATGAACCGCAGCTGTTACAAGTCTCAATAACGCCTTTCCGTCATTGTTTAAAAACATTGTTTCATGCGCTTGGTTTTCAGATTCAGAAAATATTGTTAAAACAAATATGTTAAGGCTGCAACACACAGAAAACTAATCTATAATATATTTTTTTCCAACCGTCGCGTTCCGAGAACCCCAGCTTTTAAAAAGTGCACTTCAAAGTCACCCTTTATGGCTGAATGTAGTGCACTATTTCTGGTGTACGCCTTCTTGGATTGCTAATATTCTTCCCTTTTCAGTTCCGCACATGTGTCCTCTTGGCTTTGGCCGGTAGCGCCCTTGCTGGCTACGCCAGTCCTTTGTACGGCTACAGGGCCCCGGTGGCAGCCTACCACGCCGCCCCAGTGTACAGCAGAGTCGTGGCCCCAGCCGTCACCGCCGTCCACCACGGAGCAGCCGTGTCCCACGTGTCGAGCGTGAGCAGCTACCGCAGCCAGCACCCCGTGGCCACCCCGGTCGCCCGCTACGCCTCCGTCCACACGGCCCCGGCTGTGGCCACTGTCCACACCGTCCCGGCGGTCGCCAAGGTCGCCGCCTACGCTGCCCCGGCGCTCTCCGCTGTCCACGCAGTCCCAACATACGGCTACGGCCTCGGATACGGCTACGGTCTGGGCACCTACGGACTTCGCTACGGTCATGGCCTGAGAACCTACGGCTACGGACTCGGTTACCACCTGTGAAAACAATATTTGATTTAGCTAAAGGATATTAATAAAGTTCTGGATTTAATCAAAAGTTTTTACTTTGTACATTAGGACTCGCGTTCAGAAGATTACAGATTAAAATATGAGCTTCAGTGCTGCGTCTAAGAAGCAGTGACTTATTGTCATTCTCCAGAACTGCGATATTTAGATGGACTCTCTTTACACGTTGAAAACCACCTGGGATTTAAGTAACAGATTTAAAATCTTCAACAGCCACTTAGAAATAGTTGCTGCATGCCCAGTTATGAAAGTAAAAGGTCATGTTTATGCCTAATCCTAGAATGCCTCAATGTCCTTCTGTTTAGGGTGATGCCATCGTTTGTAGTACCGATGCCGACAGCACATGCTCACAGAGAAAAACAAAAGAAATCGCAGGAAACAAAAAGTCGCCGTAGCAGAGTCAGCGCCACGAGTGCGTTCAGGGACATGCTCTTTCACGCGCTTCAGAACAAAAAAATACAAATAAGCGTTCAAAACAAAATGGCCAGATGTCATCACCCCAAGCAAAGTGCACATGAAGGCAACCTACCTAAACCAATACGCCTATTTAAGTTCTTATCTTATACAGTCGTCAGAACTAGTTCCACGTATGTTTATAAAAAAAAATTTGAGGATTCAATTTTAGATATATTGAGGTTGCATTAACTTAAGTCGTGTTGTCTGCTTTGCGCTGTTGAGCCACTCGCGCTTCAGACCATTTCAGGCACGCTCAAGCTGAACTTATAGCATAGGAATAGTTAAGCCGCTTCAGAGTTTGTGCATGAAGTGCTAAGTTGCTCTGAATAGTTCACATCATTCAAAAAGAAACGTACAATGACTTTTCAGTCAAAATCGAATTTTATCAGAAAGCTTGAAACGGTAAAAAAAAAACACTAAGGAGACACTGTGGAGTGGTACTAAGGTGGTATTTCATTTATTCGTTTTTAACCCGCTGCCAGCCGTGAAGCCAGTGGCGGTATATAGAAATGTTAAAATAAAAAGCGACGTCAAGTGTTCAAAATATTATCCTGAGAAGCAGACTAGCACTATTTACAGCCTTCGTAGTTGGACAGTTCCATTTATCGATACATTTAACGAACAAGAGTTCCTACGACAATCGTGTGTTCAAGCGAGTAGGCATGAATATTTTTGTGTGTTTCATGCCTTATCACAGTTTTCACAGGTAACATATTTCCAATTATCAATACAGTAATGATTAGGTTAAAGATTAAAAAAATATTCATTCGAGTACACATCATCTTATACCTGGAGGAGTCTCTCTGTTCTTCTTTTTCTCGGTTGTTACGGGCGGATATACCTGGCACCTGCCATATATGTTTATTAATGGAACAAGCTTTGAGGGTTTTGGTGACCAAGCGTATATCTTTAAATTTCAAAATTAAAATGCTGTAAGATTTTAAATAAATTCAAAGCATGAATATGTTCGAAATTAAAGTATTTAAACGAGCACAACAGCTACCAAGTTTACTCGTGGTACGGATTGTCAAATCAGCAAGCAACCTTTAATGCCAAGCTAATTAAAAGCATTTTCAAGAACAAATTGCACCATTAGTATTCTAAATCAAATTATTTCTCAAGTGCATGCAGAAATGCCTCTTGCTTCCGCATAAATAAAGTGACAAGTGCTTAACTCATGTGTAAAAGAGTTACCTTAGTTGAATATGTTCTTCATTCAATGCTGATATTCAAGGGGTCATGAAACAATTTTTCAACTTTTCCCATCTTAGCTTTCCTGCTCAACTCACAAATCGCGCACTGTAGCAAACAGTTCAAGAAGACGGAAAGAAAGGACTCCCCTCTTGCTCTGACCCTCGTTTGTGTACCCAGACACCACCATTATCCCCCTGGAAGATTAGTCCGTCCCTCAAAACTCCAACAAAAGTTGTTTTCCCACTCCGTTGACTCCGAAGCTGACAGTACTGTGGAAGCTACGTGCTCGTTGGGCTAGACACACTTTTGCCACGGGATCACGTTCCCTCGAGCATACCCACAAGTAGAGAATGAGGGCAGGTGAGGAAATGGAGGCGGCTGATTGGTCCGGCAAGTGCATAACTTCTACCGCACTGTCAGCTTAAGTGTGAGTGGAATAAGTGAAGTCCGGTGTCGTGCGACGTGCGTTTGGGCTGGGTGACGCGCTTTGTGTACCGCGGATGTATGACAGTAAAAAGGCAGAGAGCTTTCGAAGGGAAGGAGGTACGAAATAGTCCGCTGTGTTTTCAAATTTTTGTACCGAAAATCAGGTTTTTGACTTTCTACCTCCTTTCTTTTGGCGCACTAAACGATATGCTATTTGTAAAATCCAAATCTAAGTTCATTTATCGCAGCCCAAAAAGCCCAAAATTCGTTTCATGTGCCCATTAATCGGTGATAAAAAAAAGTTGTCCTAACGGAATGGTTTCGGGTAAAATTGTACCAACGCAAACCCGGACAAAATATAGACTTCAGTGAAGTTTATCCCCTTCAAAGAACTTTAAAGAACTTTTCATATCGTATTGCTGCTGTGAAGTTTTTCTTCAACGTACATTTGAATATAGCATATTTATTTGTATCTAAGCATTTTGTTTTATGCTATTCAGGAGTAGTTAGTTCACAGCCCTCATTTCCCACATTAGAGCTCGAAAGATCCAGGTTTAAAAAGTGTAAAATATCTATCAATGCATTTACCAAGTTCTAACTTATTGTAGACATTTTTTATGCTTAGAAAAGTACACAAAATTGTATAGTTTTTTTTTTTTTTTATATATATATATAAATTTTTCGAATTGGTGGCGGCCAGAAAAACTGCGAACCAACTCAACGGGGTTTCTCGGTATACCGAGGGACGTCCAACCACCAATCAAGAGTGCAAACTTGTTAATTTCGTCCTGTTTGCTTCAGTATTTTTATTTCACGGGTGAGTTCCAAATCCACACTAGACACTTGCATGTTAAACTAAAAAGGGTGTTTCTAAAAACAAAGTTTATCCGTTAAATTTTCTCATTAAAGATAAACACCACGGACTGTAAACCATTCGTGATTTTACGTAAGACATTCTAAATTTTGTGCGGAGGTTGCCCTCCTGCATGCCCAACCCCGAGTTAAACCACGTAGCCTGTCAACACCACCTATATTAAAGGGCGACCCTACCCAGAAAAAAAAAAAAAAAAAAAAAAAGTTCTGCAAAAAACGTTGAGTTTTAAAAATGACATATTTACATCCTCCAACATCTAGAGAGTTAGTGAAGAATGGTAAAAAACGCAAGCGAGGTACTGAATGACGTCCGTAGTAACCCTGAGACGTAGTTAAAAAACGGACAGAACAACGAAGTCTCTAAGACAGTTTGAAATGTATTTAACAACCATCGCCTTATATATATGTCCCAGACCTCCATCACAATTCAAAAGACCTCCTCGCCCACTTCACAGTGTACCCTAACTTTCAACCTATACCGACAAACACACACAAAAAAGCATACGCGCCCGAAACAAAAAAGGGACACTAATTCGAAAAGGAAATGCAAGAACTTCCGCTTGTGGCAAGGTCAGACAGAACCCAGCAACACTTACGAACTCTTTTGTTCCCTTGTCGGGAGACAAACAAGGTTGTCCGACAAAAAAAACACAATAAACCACACCCAAAAAAAGAGAAGAACCCGAACCCCACAACAATTGACCGATCTTAAAAAAGAAACATGAATTATAAACCTAGAAATTTTTCGCTCCCTTATCAAGAGATAAAGAAGGTTAACTGATACAGTTCCCAGAGCTTAAAATACGCATAGTTTCCCTTAACACTCCCCTATGGCTATCCTTCTCTTTGTGTAAGACTTCAGTGCCCTCCCACTCTGGCACACAGTTGTTGCGTTTGACTACATGTTTAGCAATTTCCGAGTTCGTTGCATTATTGTTAACTGCCCTTTTGTGCTCTATTATACGATCGTTTAAACACCGACCAGTATGTCCTACGTGGGGAAAACAGCACCGCAGAGGAATATTATATACGACCTCTTCCTGACAAGGCACCGCAGAATCCCGGTGGTTTTTCGTACACCCCAAACCCGCCCCTGAAAAAGGCGTCAACCCTTCTAGCTTGTTCTGCGCTTTAAGCACAACGTTGTTGTGTTTAACACAACACCACGTTGTTGTGTTTAACACAACACAACGAGAGTATTCCCAGAATGTTTCATTAGTTTACACTACACAGTTCATTTTGTATAAATTATTTTCGGTCCGCCGATGCTAAAAAAAGAAAGGGTAGAGGCTGGAGCATTTGGGACACATTTTTCTCTCTTCCATTTTTTTGGCACAAATTTCACTTTAGGAAAACTATGGTTTTGTTTTTACAGAACTTGGATTCTTTTTTGCGTGTTTTTAAGGTTGCGATGCAAGTGAGTTGGTTCATGATTTAGGAAATTGGAAACAGCGCGCAAAAAGACGAAGATAACGAGAGAAGAGCACAGGACAAGCGCTGACTATCAACTGAAGTTTTATTAAAAACGGCTCAAACAAGAAAACACGACACAGCCAACCAACGCCGAAACAACCAGTGGCGTTTCGCTTACCGTGCATTTATAAAATCGATCTCTTTTTTGTGCAGATAAACCGAAGGCTGGCTGACGCAGTGCCCCGCGCCAGCTTTTTCGATAGCATGCGGTGCTGGAGGCGCAAGAGATGTGCTGGAGGCGCATGCAATCGAAAAAGCTGGTGCGGGGCACTGCGTCAGCCAGCCTTCGGTTTATCTGCACAAAAAAAGAGATCGATTTTATAGGTGCATGGTAAGCGACACGCCATTGGTTGTTTCGGCGTTGGTTGGCTGTGTGGTGTTTTCTTGCTTGAGCCATTATTAATAAAACTTCAGTTGATACTCAACGCTTGTCCTGTGCTCTTCTCTCGTTCTCTTCGTCTTTTTGAGCGCTGTTTTTAATTTCCTTTGCGTCTTTGTCTGGATGAAATTTTAAGGGAAAGATTGTTATAAGCTTGCATTTCTTTTGTCACTTTTCGTGCTCAAAAACATAACTTTTCGACATAGGAGGGAAATCTGGAAAAACAGAATGTGTATTTATGTGGCATTTCTGTCGTGAAAGATGGTATAGTATAGAAATATAGCTCTTAGCTATCTGCTCTGAACTGTCCTAAAGTAATATAACAAATAAAAACGCTAAATTTATACGTAATTTCAAAACGATGGTTTTCCTATGCAGACACGTCCACTTTCATTTTTAATCATTTGCAATTTTTATTTGTGTTTCACCCAGGTTAACAAATTTGGCAGAAATTTTCTGAACGTCAAAAGAAACGAGCCCCGTAAATGTCATTTAAATAAGACAAGTGGTTCAAACATTCACTTCTTTTTGGTTAGTGCCCCCAGTTAGTCAGGGCCTACGAACATCATCCTCTTCTCCATGGAACGTTATCACGGTCGGATTACACCAAGTCAGCTATTGAACCTGAACCCAACGCCGAGCATGCTTCAACGCGTTGACGGAACACGAGGCCCGCCGAACGCTGCACTCGTGTTCAATCTGCCGCCTGCACTCGATCTCATCGTCATAACTTCTAAGTTCTACTTCGCAGGTTTTGATTATGTGATTATTCTCGGTGGTGTTGTGCCATCATTCCCAAAACAAGACACTACATTTAGAGTTAGAAGAATAACACATTAAAAACGATGGAGGCAGATGACGTGCCACGGGCCATGGTGGGCGCTCGGAAGAATCACCGTCGCTTACGGCGGTGGTAATTTTGTAGGCAGGGCAACGCCTCCTTCGAGTGTTGCGTTCATCGCGCAAGCCCGGTGCGTACAGCTCATACCCCGGTGGCTGCTGTCAAGTGGCGACTGTACAATGCCGACTGAACGGTGTAAAATGTACGATGCCGCAATCGAGGTGCGTACAAGTTATGATACTTCCGTTCTAAGAACTAGCGGTAACACGGGAGTGCATAGCATTGGGTACTATCAGAGAACTTTAACGGCCCAATGCGCAACTAACACTACAACCACGCGGATGCACCGTTGCGCGCCGGGCCGTTAGAGCTCCCTGAAATTACCCAATGCCCCGCACTCCTGTGTTCCCGCGAACTGTGTTAAATATGGTACTCTATGCGTATATTCATATAAACAGCCTGGTCTTGTAAATAGAAAATCTCGATAATATGGACAAACTGGGTAAATGCACGCATCATCTCTTGGTCAATATAGACGACTCTTATTTTGAAAAAGTTTTGTTTTGTTTTGTTTTGTTTTGTGTTTTGAGGGGGAGGAGGGGGCGTCCATCATGTGGAGACGTAAACTGAGTATATCTACCCTGCTTGACGCCATTACTAGAGTGAAGGACTGAAAGTGCGCTAAAGTATTTTTCCACACATCAGGGTCTCGAGGCGTTAACTCAATCAAATCGCCCTTAGCATCCTAAAACAAAAACAAAAATGCAAACATGTGGCGTATTTTCTATTTCAAACGAAATCAAATCTGGCTGCATGTACTATTTCCTTTTTTTTATGTTTCTTAGAAAAGGAACATGTCGCGAACGGCGATTGCGTTTTAACCATACAAAAAATTAATCACATGATCGTCATTTTGGAAATTTTAGGATACTTAACATACAGATGGAGTGACCAACATAAAAAGACGAATTATAACTTCGCTTCAGGGTCCCTTTTAATCGAACTAAATGAATTTTAAGATGGCAAACGTTTCCTAACAATATAATTTTTCGAAGACTTACTTTTTCGAAATGTTCAATTTATATTGAGTATAAGCAATTTATCATCAACAAAATATTGAGACAACAATGCAATCAAATTGAAATAATTTCGTCGTAATTGTTGCATGTTGGACCATTTTATTCTGGCCATTTTAACAGGGTTCATTTTACCGTGATCATTCTGTCCGAGACCACCTTGTCCGGATCTCGATTTATATATGCGCAAGCAATGTACACGTGTGCGTTTCTCCAATTACTGATGCTCAACTAAGAGGTCATCGGCTACGGATCTGCACCACGTATTATGACACGCGACTCTAGACGTGCAATTTGTCTAGCTCTCGGAATATTTGTACAGTAAAAAATCCTTTCAGGTTTATCCAATGCCAATTGCACTAATAAGTTAGCAAAATTGAGAAAGAAAATAAAAATATATTTTTTTTTCTACCGTATAGTCACGTCTTTTTTTTTTCTCTCTTCTTTTTACACCTAAGGTCCTATCTATTTTTAAATATTTCAATATCCATAACCTTGCACTGCCTCGCTGCTTATTCCGCCTCCAGTGACTGACCCCTCCCACTAAGCTTTGTGTCCGCATGCTGAAAGCAAACAACTCAAAACGTAAAGGGAAAATAAGCTGACCGCTCTCCTCTCCATACGGCATTCCGCAAAGGAGACAACTTCATTCCGGCATTATATAAAACAGAAGCGGAAAGGCCGCCGTTAAAATGATCTTTGTACGTGATCCAAACACGTATTTTTTTTTTTTCTGCCAGATGTCCGCTTGTGTAGGCCTTGAGCGCGATGCTGGCCCCGCCTAGTTAGGTTCCCACCCTTTTTTGAAGTATAAAAAAGGCGACAATTCTTCGATTTATTACAAGAAGTTCTCACTCGGCTTCATTACAAACCATCATGTTCGCGGTAAGTCTCCTTTAGACGCTATGACACCGAATACCAGCTCACCTTTACTGATACCTTCATTACCTTTTCTAATCTCTATCCCAATGGTTAACTAACTCTTTACGAACGAAACTCGACTAGCTTTTGATATCAGCAGTATTGACACTAACCCTACAAAAAGCAAGCGTTTGAAGCCCGCAGCTCTTAAGGATGATCACCGAAGCAATTTCAGGCTTTGGTAAAGTCTCCCTTTTGATGTCTAAATATTAAATAATTAATTGATATGCTTGGTTTCAAAATGCAACTAAAAACTAATATGCGAAATGATGCAAAATCACAACCTGATCAACACTATCTTTCAAATGCCGTGTTTCGAAAACCCCTGCCCTTGAAGAGTGTACTTAGAAGTCACCCGTCGTTGCTTGGTTTAGTGCACTAATCGAGCTCACGCATTCACTAAATGCTAATATTATTTCCCATCCAGTTCCGTGCCTGTCTTCTCGTGGCTCTGGCCAGCTGCGCCCTCGCCGGCTACGCCAGCCCGTTGTACGGCTACAGCGCCCCGTTGGCAGCCTACCACGCCGCCCCAGTGTACAGCAGAGTCGTGGCCCCAGCCGTCACCGCCGTCCATCACGGAGCAGCCGTGTCCCACGTGTCCAGTGTGAGCAGCTACCGCAGCCAGCACCCCGTGGCCACCCCGGTCGCCCGCTACGCCTCCGTCCACACGGCCCCGGCTGTGGCCACTGTCCACACCGTCCCGGCCGTCGCCAAGGTCGCCGCCTACGCTGGTCCCGCGTTCTCCGCTGTTCATGCGGTCCCGACTCACGGATACGGCATCGGATACGGCTACGGTCTGGGCACTTACGGACTTCGCTACGGTCATGGCCTGAGAACCTACGGCTACGGACTTGGCTACCATTTGTAAACACTATAGTTTACTTTTAAAACGGCGATAAATAAAGCTTCTGGTTCAACTGTAAAGGTGTTTACAATGTAAATTGGCATTTGCGCTCACAATATCATAGATTACATATATTAAAACATATATTTTTCAGTGCAGAGAATAAGCACCCGTAAGGGCATGTCGACATGACCAGAAAGTGCAATATTTATATTGACTTTCTTGTACGCTCAATTGTGCTTGGACTATCAAAACAGATTCAAAGATCGTCTAAGCATCGGTCGAGTAATTTTCGCTGGATGCCCAAAGAAGAAAGTAAAATATATTTATGTCCAAAGCATTCCTCTGTTAATGTTATTGTAGTGTCGACGCAGGTAGTTACAATTGCATTTTTTAATACGATTATATCTAAATGCCGGATTCCTTGAGGTTACATTACCTGTGCGTGCTCTGACTATAGAAGGCTGATGAGCTAAGTTTGTTTAAAAATAATGTGCGGCAAGTTCAAGCTTAAAAAACAACATAATGATGGCTATTTTTCAAAAATCGACCATATCAAATGCCAATTTGCTCTGAATATTCTGGATAGTTATCATACGATCAGAATAAACTTGTGACCGTATTTTTGGGGACAAGACTGTACAAAAACACTTCGCATGTATTTTTATTTGTTACGTTTAGGTCTAAGGCATTAATCGTTATACTGAGGTAAACGCGATCGGTTCACCTCGTAGGTCGATGTACGGCTAGCTCACTCGGTAGCACAAGGGAGCCAACAGATGGCTCTCTCAGACAGTTGGCCCCCAAATATGAAATGTAAAATGCTTCGACAATTTCTTTCGTGACCTTCTCCCTGTAAGCCTCCAAGGCCCTGCCAGCACAAACTGTCCCTACAATGCAAAGAGATAAGGCCGCCCACCATTACTTTGAGCGAATACGTATGCTCTCGGAGTCTGTCGTCCAGACATCTCCCTGTCTGCCCAACATAGAAATTTCCATAAGACAGGGTAACTTGGTACACAACACACGAAACGCATGATACAAACGGTTTTGCGAGTTTTTTGTACTTGTGATTTTTACTCGCTTTTCAGTCCTTGCACCAACCCAAGCACAATTTTGGCTCATCTTCTGTGAAGCTGAGAAAACCATTGGCACTCCAAACCGACTTCCAACATTTTACAACTTACGGGAAACTCTGGGAGGGCACAGGGAGAACGTGCTGTGTGAGCCAACCATATATATTGCGTTGTCGCAAGAAGAGCTGACGTTCCTGGCATCTTCAATGAAGCGTCCGGATAGTATTGACGTAACGTGAAGTCACGTTTTGCCTGATAACAAGCAGCCGGGATGGCAAGTGTGTTTATGTGTCGGGATACTACCTGATGAAGGTATGATCTGTGTGCCATACAATCCCACCTAACATCAAGAGCAAATCGGGCGGAAATATGGAATGGGATAGCTTTCGGCGTACAATCAAGAAAAGTTTTAAAACATTGCTATTTTTAGGTTATGTCTCTTCCAAGCTTCTTATGGTGGCAAGAAGCAACGAAGCAAAGATGACTATTTCCCCGTCAGCAACGTTGGCTCCTATTCCACCATAGATAACCAGCCGCATTTACGCCGAGGCCATCATTTATCCCAACACTACTATTACTTGGAGTGTACTATCTTTCGGTGTCTAAAAAATATAGCAAATCACGTCAAAAACAGGGGTGGGCTATCTTTCGGGGGGGGGGGGGGGGGGGGCATCTCTTGTAATTTTACGTTATATATATAGCTTTCTTTTTTTTTCCTCTTTTTTTCGTCACAAGTAATACATTAAGTTGCGAATTCAGTTCCGTCCTGTTGTGTTTGTTCCTTCCTTCGTCCCCGTTTTCTGAAGCTGATTTTCATCAACTATGTTTAATTATTACCGAATTCCCAAGTTACTACTTTTTTAAAGTTTTTCAAGTTTTTACGTGTGACCAATTTAAGATATTTAATGAGCTTGGCATCCCCACAAAGCTCAAATCTAACTATCTTTAATTATTATATATTTAATGCTATAAGCACAAAATAAAATGTGTTGTATACATTCGATTGAACGAATGTTTCAGAAATCTAGCAAATTCAAAATAGATTTTATAAAAAACAAATTGTTATTATTTTTTTATCAGTAGCAGGGTATGATTGTGATGTCTTAGAAGAGATATATATAATATGATCTATTTTATATGAGCGCAATTAAAGATTGAACCTTGTCAGAAGCGCGTTTTAAAACGGCAAGCTTTGTTGCAGAGTAAAACACTTTTTACTCCGCATTACGCGTAATATTGCTTATTCCTAAGGTTACCTATTAATTAAAGTTTTAATATTATGTAATTAACTATACCACGCCACAGTATTAACCAGAATATCATCTATGTGAGGATGCAGTTAGAACGTAGAACTGAGAATGTCCAAGCTTTAATTGCGGTCATGCAAAAACAAATCATACAATAATTTGTTTTGTTTATATTTGCTGATAAACCACTATCATATCTTGCTACCAATAAAACTCAAATAAAATAGACACTTAATTTGTTTGTTTTTTAATTTGTTTTCAATTTGATGGATTTTGAAACATTGTTTATTCGATTGTATGTACCATATTTTCTTCTAACATATCGTATTCAATTTTTATGTAAATATATCTGCGTTTGAGATTCTCGGTGGTGTCAAAGTCATTAAAATACCTTCAATATGCCACACTTAAAAATTACCAAACTGTGCCAAAAGCTATCAAAGGACATAATGTGTTTTCTTCCAACTCTCGGAGATCGCATGTTTGACCGATCGTTATTGGGATTTTTTGTTGAACTCTCAAGATAGATTTATTGCGCTTAATAGATTTCAGAAGATTTTTATTTTTAAGTAATTTTTCACAAACTGTCTAATTGTGTCCCTTTCATTATTTTTGGCATATTTTCATAGCTCTGCAAGTTTCTTTAATGAACGCTGACATGGTATTACGCTCGTCAAGGTTTTTAAGTTGTACGTGACATATAAGAGCCCAACTACCCGAACACAATTTGCGGCACGAAATTCGTTTGCTTCCTGCCCGAAAACCGTCCATGTTGAACTGGCCGGTTTCAGTCGCGCTCATTCTATTCTCCGTGGTCACGTGCCGTTTTCTATGGTATAGACCAGGGGTGGTCAGGGTGACATGGGGTTAGAGCCGCAGACAAAGCCACAAACGTTCCGAGAGCCGCGGGAAAAAAAAGGGGGGTGGTGGCTACTTTTAAGAAGAAACGATATGGAGGGAACACTCTGTTCCAAAAGCAACAAGTATAATTGTAGACTACAACAAATACCACCAGGAAGCAAAGCGTTCCTTCAACCGCTAAGCAAACATAAATGCTTGGTTCGCTGGCGAGCGACTAATCCCCTGACACCTGTTATGCGTATACGGTTAGAAATTCTTTCTGGAACAATAAACAGTGCCCCTGGACACGTCTATGTGCCAACAAGCCGACCAGCTGTGTGTAGGCAGTGTAGTAAAACGCTGCCAAGATTGTGAGCTTGCTTAAAATTTTAGAACTCTTTTCGTCTTGGGGACGCGGGAGGGGAGGGGGCTACGCTTACCAAGGAGCCACGAACCGCCTTTGGACTCGCAAAAAGTCGCTTGCGGCTCGCAAGCCGCAGTTTGGCCGCCCCTGGTTTAGACACAAACACCAAAGCTAATCAGTCGCAGGTCATCGAAGGCACACACTCAAAACTAAAAACAGAAAAAAAATATATTCTTCCTATTTTTGCAGCTTTTAAAATGCTGCAAATACGTAGTCTCCTGACAACAAATTAGATGGCCTAATAAAAAAATGTAAACATAAATTTTGGAGTGTCAGTGTCCCTTTAAAGAATCACTGAAAAGAAAAAGTATGCTTTTCTATATTTTTTAACTGTCTGGTTGGGACACTTGTGTCAAGAAATAAATGTTAAGCGAAAACAAAAAATAATGTATGGCAATATTGACGGCACAAGATGCGATTTAGTGGGTAGTCACCTCCTTTCCACTTTTTTTCCCTCTCAGCATTGCGGGCGCGTGGAGAAGAGGTGGAACGGCTTGGCCATCACGTTGAGGTGGAGATAGTGTATGACCTTTTCATTGAGGTGGAAATAATGTATGACCATTCCGTGACTTAATGGACTTTGCGTGCAGAATTTAAGATAAATCTCGCGCCGTCAATATTTCTCTAAAACAATTTTGTTTCACGTACATTTCATTTTTCGATACGCGTGTCCCAACCAGACTGTTTAAAAAAAAAAACTTTTTTTGTCAGTGGCTTTTTATTAATCCTGGCGTATTTGTAAAAACTAATGTCTTTGACTTCACCGGAAAACTAAAACTAAATAAATTTTATTGAGTCGAAATTTCGTTGAATTGTTACCCCAAGTACTAGGACGCGCCTTCACACAATTAAATATTGGAAAGTAAATGTTATTGTACAAACCTCCTTAACTCATGAATTCATCCAGTGATATTTATTTCAATTAGATAACAAAAAAAAATTGCGGACGCTCGTGTATAATTTTTTTATTGCACTATGATGTTTGCAGCTTTTTTTTTTTTTTTTGTAACATCACACCCAAAGCCATGTCACACCGTAACTATTAGAGGTATTCTTATTTTGTGAAAGTATTGTACCTTTGCTCATTTCTGTCTCTGCAGCGGAAAACCCAAGCGCTCATATCCGTGTATTTTCTCAAGGCGTCCGCAGAGGATCTTACTTGCATTCATCTTTATTTAAGACGCATAATATCGTTCCGGGTGCTCTGAGGTGACGAGAATTATAATCGTGTTGTCTGTGGAAAACAGTTCAGCCAAGCACGTTTCGACAGACGCTCTCAAGCTTGACAACCAAACTTTCAGTTGCTATATAGGGTGACCGAAATAACCAGGCTCGATTCAAAATGGGCCGTAAAAATCGGCGCCTGCGCGTAGATGTCCAAACTTTTCGTCAAAGGTGTATTAAGCTAGTATGTTTATTTTATGTAAAATTAAAAAGCGTAGCATCCTTTCTGTGAAAAAAGAAAACAACCGGAAAGCTTGCTAGGATCAACG